GGAACCTCGTCAAGAAACCAGTGCCGCTCTTTTCTCTGGGGAGGACAGACTCACTACAAAATAAATCATATGTCAAGTTCAAAGCTACGCTTACATTCAAATGTTAAACGATGTCAAGCACTCTTAAGAGCACGCCGTGCAACAAGCGGTGCTCTAACCCTAACAGTATAGAAATGTTAATCAGAATCCTAACACAGCATCGTTGATGAGAATAAAATGATCTTGTCACCATTGTAAGACAAAATCCTCCTTTTCTTTTTCTACCAGTAAACACAGAAACAGAGTTGTTAAAAATCTACACCCTGGAAGAACTTTTCCAAAAGTTCAGTTTTCAGTTTATATGGGAACGAAAATCACAGAAAAAAAGATTTTCTATGATTTTTATACCTAAACACTAATGTGCCTGTGGACAGGGCCTCAGAATTATTCACAATAAACAGTAGCTCAGCGGTCCCCAACCCGCGGGTCATGGACCGGTACCAGTCCATGAGTCGTTTGGTACCGCGAGAGTTGAGGCTCGGGTGGTTTTCAGGATTTTTATCGTTAACTCGGTTTCCCCGGGTCTTTTCCCGCGTTGTCGTTGTGTGTCTTATTTTGAAAGAAATATTTACCCGTTACCATAGCGACCAGAGAGCATTAAGGGGCAGAGAGGAGGATGTTGCTCTCAATGTTGTTGTCGCATTTCAGAAGGACGCTGCTAATAAAGTTACACAATTACACAGTGAATTTGCATTTATTATTATGTTTACAAAATAGCACCGTTTTTGTCTTCGTCAAATCATTTTATTTTGTTGAATTTACCCGCGACACTTTAAAGCCCAGACCGCTGGATTAGATTATTAGATGACTACTTATTGGCCTAACCACTGCCACACACCAAGAGAGTCCTGGGTTTGAACCCAGGCAGGGCCCCTCTATGTGTGGTGTGCATGTTCTTTAGTTTACCACAAAGTCTACTATGGAAAAGACATACTAGTCCTCTAATAACATTAATGAACACTTTCAGATGCAGCATGCTTTAAGGAAAACTTTAAATCCAAACTAAAAAATGAAGGACAAGATGAGAAAGTTCAAAGGTTAAATTATAGCTATATCCCCTAATGGAAGTATTACAGTGTGGAAACTTGATGAGAGAGATGCTTGCCCTGGCACACTTTCTTGAAGCCCTAGGAAACAGACTCTAATTGAAGGTCAGCCAAATACTCAGAGCTCCGTTAACTGCGTGTGCACTTATGTGCGCATAAATATGCAGAGTCACACACAAATGGCAGCGTGCACTCAAGTGCACTCACACAGACAAGCACTAAACGAATCCATAGACAAACAGAGAGATGGAGAGACAGACCTGATCAGGTCACAACTGGTTAGCTGTGATCTGCATGGGAATGAGGT